GAAACGCCTTTTGGGACCAGAAACGCCCCTGGGACGTGTCTTTAAGCCAAACTTCCTCATGGCAGAGCGCACCCACCCCACACACACACACACCCTGCCCATGACTCCTGCAGGCTGTTGGGTGAAACTGAAAGTGAAACTTAAACTGTCTGCTGAGCTCCACTACTTCTCACTCAGTGAAGCTCTTTTCAGATTAAAAATACCTTTGAGGAAACGTATTTTCAGAGGCCAAGTAAACTGCATCATGGCAGCCCCCACCCCCCAAGAAATGGGCGTGACTGAAGCAGAAGGTGGTTCTTAAAGAGACAGAGGCCAATTTCAAGGCTTTTAGAAGAGGAAGTGATGAGAAGATAAGTTWATTTTCTATTTAAACATAAAAACAAAATTTTAATAACAGCTAAAGGTGACATAAATACTTTATTGTGTTATAGTATTTAAATGTATGCCTGAGAAACACATAATAGTGCCCCTTTAAAATCAATTTAGTTTAAAGATGGCTATCGCATCTACTGACTTTAACGAATGGAAAATGGTGATAACTCGGTTAATTTAATGGATATTAACCTAAAATTGGATGTTGTGGTAGGTGAAAGTCYTCCACAACACTTAATACACTGCATTCTAAATTACTTTGCAAATAATTTGCATAATATTTTGGAACGTGGTGTAAGAGCCCTAACAGAATAATCACAATCTTGTGCAAAGTATGAGTGCAAACGTTATGAGGGTGATTTTTCATAAGACGATCTTAGTGTAAAACTTGAAAAAAGGCAGTGAGGGATGGTCATTTCTTCAAGGAATTCTAGCCCTTTATGCATTTTAATTTGAATGACCTACAGAAATATTTACTACTGTATACCACTTGCCTGTGATTACACTATTAAAAACAGCCACAGGTGATACAATGACTTAACACTCTATAGGTCACTGGTGTTCCAGTGACACACATCAGAAAAACATATGGAGACAACAACCTGTCCTCTGCGGGGGTTAGCGGTGTGGGTGAGAGGYGGCATGCACTCAGTCTGTGAATCTCCTTGTAATAATAATAATTTATGTTCAGTCACGCCTCATTTTTTTTCCTCAGGCAGGAGGGAAACACTACCATCCGTCCTGCGCTCGCTGCGCTCGCTGCAACACGACGTTCAAAGAGGGAGAAGAAATGTATCTGACAGGTGAAGCTCCGCACAGACTTTCCCATGCTGGCATGCACTTCCCATGCACAGCAGCGTAAGATAAATTGCACGGCATGTGCCAACACCCATCTTTCTTTCCTCGTTGTCTCGCTCATCAGGATGTGAGGTGTGGCACCCTTTATGCAAGCAGGCGGCGAGAGCCGAGAGGAGACTCAGAGTGAGCTGGGGTTCTAAATAAAACTTCAAGTTTTCTCGCAGGACACATTTCCTCCTTTTTCTTTACCTTTTTTTTGTTTGTACCTCACAGCACAGACGCCTGTCAGAGACCTCCATCTCCCCGCCAGGATCCTCTATAGGCTCTCCAAATCGAGTTATATGTGTGAGTAACCTTTGACCCCACAGTTTTCAATCACTCTTGGCTGCCGCTGCCACTGATCGCAGCCTTTAAGCACATTTGCTACACCAGAAACATGAGCCCTGCCCACCAACTTGCACCAGTATATGAGGCCCCTCACTTCCTTGGCCTGTTCACCTGTCTATGTCTCTGTTGCCATCAATTATGTGCTGTGAGTACTTTGCTGTAAAGCTTGTTGCACCAGTTCCTAAAGTAAAACACAGAYATGCATGTAAAGTGTAAACTTTAGCCATGCTTGAAGTATAGGCTCTACAGATTAAAATGGCTAGTCTTCTGTTTAGCTCAGATCAACAATGTGATCATTTTTAACGCTGCATTACATTTTTACTTGAAAAWCAGAAATTTCAAATTCCTAGTTCAAAAAGTCAATTGGAGTGCCCACCAAAGTGAAGAAGAGGTCCCTGCAGTCACTAAGAGGGAATTTATTAGGTGTGGGTGTAGTGTGGGTCAACTGTGATTGGTTGGATTAATTTGTGTGGGCGTTGTTTGGATAAATCCTGATTGGTTGGACTTGACTATTTCGGGAGGGGTTTGAAAAAGCCACAACGGTTCAGTTGGATTAATGTTGGGCGGCTTGGGGGACTATAATAATTCAGATTGCTATTTTTGAATAGGAATATTATTAATTTTATCTTGAGGCAGGAAGTTGCTACTCTTTGTCAATAAAGTCAATATTACAAAAAAAGTAATATTGGCAATAAAGTTAATAGTACTTACAGATTCACAATAATTTTGCAAGTTACCAATATCACATCTTTTAGATTTCCCCACAAGTTCATCCATCCAAAACACTATGTCTTCTTCAAACCCGATCCCCAAATAGTCAATCTGAACAACTGCGAGTTACCTAAACTACACCCACACCCAAGAAACRCCCACTWAGTGGCTGCAGAGACCCCCTACTTACCAGAGTTGAAATTTTAATGAAGAAAGTTAGAAAATCTTTACCATCCTTAAACTCAAAATCAAATATGTTTGACTTGCTGGATTTCAGTAAACACAAATGATTCTGTTTAACAACTACGAGTGATGATGTTGCGCAATTGTTTGAAAGCAGAAAAYTCTATTGTTGTATTGATTAATGGTAGTTACCCTGGTTAATAAGCACAGCAATTAGCAAATTTTCCTGATTTTCTCACTTGCAATTGGAACAGTAAAATTAGGWCTGAGAGTGTTTCAACTGTCGAGACCAATAGAACACAATGCAAACTTTGTACATTTTCATCTTTTAAAAGAAGGATAAAAAGAGTTTTGGGGTTCAGTTTTCCCCAATTTTTGTTTAGGCTGTATTGTCAGCTACAACTTTAGGTAAAGCGTAAAGACATGGGCTGGTTTATGGTTTTAAGATATATTATGGTTTCAAAAGGTCAAATTATTTAAGTCCAGCTCTTAATCTGTTTGTCTGATTTGAACTTTTTTTTGTTAAATAATGTTTGGTGTTATTTACGGCACAGGCAGAAATGGTTTTGATTCAAGATGGCTGGCACAGTTAACAACCAGTAATATTATTATTTAAGGAATATACAATGGTTATGTAGAGGTAATAATTGTATAGTTAGATAATGTGATGCATGTTTTGTAAATTATTATTATTGGCTAAAACTGTAAAATTATGGCAATTTTAGCTGAACATTCTGAATGTTTTTTTTTTCATTAGAGTTGTGCAAGTTCACATGTGACCAAAAACCATTTTAAACATAAATTTAAAATAATGCATGTATATATAGATGACCACTTTAAAACTGAGCTAAATTTACACACGTGAAATTGACTTGTTCACGTTATTAGCATATTGATTTAGCATATTGATTTAGCATATTTATTGCTTCATAGTGTAGGATTTGCAGTTTACTTTCCAAGCAGAAATGTAATTAGCCTAAGCAAGTTAAAATATATTTTTAAAACTTTTTCACAGGAGACCACATGTCTGAAAATGTTCCACAGGATGGATCGATCTGCAGAAAACACAGTTTAGCTCCACTGTTTCAGCCGACTTCAGGCTGCTCAGATCTCTGTGGAGGACTGCTGTATATGACAGAATATTAGCATTTCAGTGTGTGTCGGCATGCATGCAGGAGTTATTGTTCTCTGCCCTTCCCTGCTCTGCTTCTCTCCCATAATCAATGACCTTTCTGTTTACGGTGATGGATGAAGGAGGAATGCAATGTAAGCATGCGTTATCGTCCACGCTGCGCCCTCCTCCGCTTTGAAACTTTTGTCTGTCTTTGCTTCCTCTGCTTTCTGTCTCACACAAGCAAAGCTCCCGAAGGTCAACAGTTTAAAGTGCTGTCAGGTTCTGCCGCGTCTGCTTGTGCTTCATTTCTCTCACTGCCTCCCCAGTCTTATCTCAGCTGAATGARGTGTTTTGCTACCACTGGTGGAGTTTACATTGTCATCTGTGAGTGTGCATTGTCCATGCGGTTGATGTTGCGTCTTGTTGCTGTTGTCTCTGTCTTTGGTGGTTGGATGTGTGTGTCCTCTTTCCAGGCCAGAGTGGAGAGTGAGATCCTAGATTATAAGAACCTAGCTGCCCTGCCAAAGGTCAAGGCCATATATGAGGTCCAACAGCCGGACCTCATATTCTCCTCATACCAGCCGTACCACAGATACACCTCTGATGACAGACTAGACACTTACAGCTATGGGGAGGTACTTACTGCCACACACTTCAAGCACACTGCAGTGACGCACTCATCCCTGATCTGGTTTCAGAATAAGTCAAAGTCTGTCTTTATTCACAGCCTTTTGTCAGGCTCTACTTTAATTTTGAAAAYATAAAAATAAACAGAAATTCTGAGATTTATGGGTGGGTGTTTTATTTGTGTTGTTGTTAGGTATACTGTGATTGTTCTTTGCAAAATTACATTCAAAAGATTCTTTAAAATAAATAAATCATCTGTTTAACTCCTGTAGGAAGGAGGTTAATAAAGACTGATTTGTCAATAAAAAAGATCAAACTTACTATAAAATTATGTTATTGCTTTAAAACATTATAGTTAAGAATACAGCAGTAGTAGCAGTGGGTCAGTGTTTAAATCTCACAGGTATTTAGCATTTTAAATGTCTGTAGTAAARGCAACTACATGATTATTTGAACATTTTGGCAAATGTTTGCAAAGATTTAACCAAAAAGAGCAGTACTGATTTTCTGAGTGTGTGCTTTTTTTCTGAGTGTGTGACAGCAAAAATAATAATAATAATTAAATGTACAATTGTAAATTGTAATTATTTCAAGGCTCCCCTTCACTGGATGAAGACCATCCTTCACTTTCAGCAGCCTATTCAACCTATTAGAACATGGCTGGATTGCAAACTTCTATCAGAGTGAAGCAATCATGATGCTGTTACAATAGTACTTACCAAATAGTTTTTTGTTTGTTTTGTTTTTTGCTTGCCTTTCTGGTGTCAAGATATTCTTTTGCGTCATCACCACAACCTGGCATGACAGTCTTATGGTGCGTTCACACCGAACGCGATTTCAGCGTCAAAATCGCAGCCAACGCTGAAGTTTGAAGCTTGTGCACTTTGAGGTCAGACGCAGAACAGCTGCGCTGCACGGCGACAGCCGCCCCGCCCCTCCCTCCTCTGTGGGGCTGTTTAATGTCGGACGAGGAAGTGGCTTTGCTTTATTTACAGAGAGCCAGAGCGTGTCACGTTCATCAGATAATTAATTCATAATTAATTCACCAGATAATTCAGAGAAGAGGCTCACAGCTCGCTTTCAGGACTATTTTTTTCAGTCTGATGAGTCGCTGCCACGCATTGCTGCGGATCAGGACACGACTGCAGCACTCATTTCAGCTAAAGAGCTCCTCTCCATCTGTTTCAGGTTAGTGGACATCATTCAGTAAACTGTCCCGTCGGGAAATATGTCACTACGTCACACAGTGGAGTCTCTCTGATTGGTTGACGCTACGCGTCGAGCTGCAAAAGTTCAGATTTTCTAACTTCAGCGATTTGCGCCTCAGCGCGTCGAACGCTCAGATCGTTCAAATCGTTCAAATCGCGCTGCTCTAATCGCGCTTGAGGCYCCGCAGCACTTCCCYACGRTGATTGAAGCGCGTCCACCATAGACTTTGTATGTAAACCTGCTGCTACTGARGCTGAAATCGCGTTGGGTGTGAACGCACCATTAGACTTCTTGAAGTTGCAGGCAGCTACACGCTAAGATCGCTCATGATGCTATCACTGTGGGTTTCACGTCTGTGTCAGGTTGTTTCCATGACACAGTTGAAGCTAATGCATGGGGTGCGCATCTAGCTGCAAATTCTTGACAACCAAGACACACCAATGTTAGGAAAGTCCGTATCATGAAAGAGGGATTGTCATTTCATCCCTCCTCCCAAATATACCTCCACTTGTACCCAGTGTTTGCCATTTATTACCACTTGACATTTTGTACCATTGGTAAAAAGCTACCATTTCTCATTTAGCCACTTAAACAATTAGCATGTTTTATTCATGTACTTAGCATCCCATAAGTAAATATCCACCTGACCCTTCACATTAGTATTGTATATGCTAAAACTATGTTTTTATACCAAATATCTATAGCAAATAAGCAAAAAGAGAAAGCTGTCAAACTCTTGTAGTCATTCAGCTATGTCAGGCACAGAATTTCAACAGCTCAGGGATATTWAGGCACATGGTGCTTGTTGTGAGACACCTGAAGTATTTTAGGACTTCATGCCTGATTTAAAAATGCACTTTATTATTTTTTTACGTTTTGGGATCAAAGGTTATTCATCATTTTACATTTAGAGTTTTATTCCTGAATACCCAGGCCTAAACTTGCTAAACGATAATATTCATAAAAAAGGTCTTTATCGGCTTATATTTCACCCCCACAGTGAAATTTTTTTGCAAGCTCAAAATCAGAGTACAAGGGGTCAGAGTATCTGTGCATCACTTAGAAACAAATTTTGTAAACATAACTTGTTTTTGTTGTTCCAGTCTAAATTAGATTTTTCTGTTTACACTTGGTTCTGCAGTCGCTTGGGACTCTTTCTCCGTATTCTCAGGTAAACATTACAAACAAGTTCCAGCATGTTCTTATGTTCCTGTGTCAGTTTGCTGACCTCAGCTCCTCAGCTTTTTCCATTTGTCCTGTCACAGGACTTTGACATTCTGGATGCCAAACAGCGTCGGAGTTCCAGTCCAGGTTACATCGACTCCCCTTTGTACAGTCGTCCAGGCATGTCTCCCATCATGCCTCGATCTCCACAGCACTTTGGCTACCCTGGTGAGAATGGTGGCATTTACCAGAAATTATCGGCAACATGTCCTTGTAGCACTTCTGTTCTACAAACTGAGCAGACACTATATACATTGCAATAACTGTTAATGGTAAATTGTTTCACAAAATGTCCATCTTTTCTTTTAGTAGAGATCAATAATTTTTTCACTTCTCTTATAAGCTGCTGAAGCTTCTTATGATGCTATTTGAAACATTAGATTTAAAATTTAGCACAAAAAGTAAGGAAATTTGTGTTTGGTACATTATTTCTTTGTTGTGAAAATGCTTTTTGGCAATTCATCTTATACCATTGGAAAACTTAACTTCCCTTTTAAATGGTGCTACATTTGTAAGAAAAATGCATTTGTAGGATGAACAGTGGAGTATGTAGCTTGTGCACATGAAACATTTGCCAAATCTTCTGTGCCATTGCCAAACAGCTTATTTTACCCAGTGTTGTACCTCACTGGCAGCACCTGTTAGCATGGGGCTTGCTATGGAGGTCAATATGTCTGCTTCAAAAATTGGCATGCCATGTTTGACTGATCTGCATAGAGCCTGTGCGCTAGGGCTACTACAGGTGGGTGTTCCATAAAAGCAAGTTGCAGAATTATTTGGAGTGAGCTCTAATACAATCTCCGAATTGAAGGCTGAGTTCCATAGAACGGGAGATGTCAGAGACAGACTGTAAAGTGAGTATCCTACAACAACTCAAGAAAATCATTTACTCAGCCTGTCAGCACTTAGGTGTCATAGACTGTCCATCCGTCCATTTTCTGCCGCTTATCCGGGGTTGGGTCGCGGGGGCAGCAGCCTAAGCAGAGAGACCCAGACTTCCCTCTCCCCAGCCACTTGGGCCAGCTCATCCGGGGGAATCCCTAGGCGTTCCCAGGCCGGCAGAGAAACATAGTCCCTCCAGCATGTCCTGGGTCTTTCTCTGGGTCTCCTCCCAGTGGGACATGCTCGGGACACCTCACCAGGGAGGCGTCCAGGAGGCATCCTAACCAAATGCTCGAGCCACCTCAACTGGCTCCTCTCGACGTGGAGGAGCAGCGGCTCTACTCTGAGTCCCTCCCAGATGACTGAGCTTCTCACCCTATCTCTAAGGGAGAGCCCAGACACCCTGCGGAGGAAACTCATTTCAGCCGCTTGTATCCACAATCTCGTTCTCTCAGTCACTACCCAAAGTTCGTGACCATAGATGAGGGTAGGAACTTAGACCYACTGGTAAATCGAGAGCTTCGCCTTCTGGCTCAGCTCTTGCTTCACCACGACAGACCGGTACAGCGCCCGCATCACTGCAGACGCAGCACCAATCCACTTGTCAATCTCCCACTCCATTCTTCCCTCATTCATGTACAAGATCCCGAGATACTTAAACCCCTCCACTTGGGGCAGGACCTCCTCCCTGATTCAGAGGCGGCACGCTACCGGTTTCCGGCTCAAGACCATGGTCTCGGATTTGGAGGCACTGATCCTCATCCCGACTGCTTGACACTCGGCTGCGAACCGCTCCAATGAGAGCTGGAGATCACGATCTGATGAAGCCAATAGGACCACATTATTCATAGGCTGTCTTCTACATATTTGCAGTCAAGATTCCCAGACAATCCGGAACAGACTGTGCCCAGCCAGTCTGCAGTCTCATCGGGCAACCAGGGGGTGCTATGACAGCCCTTTACTATCAGGCCTGTTTGCACTGGTGTTGGCAACATGTGCAGTGAAACCTGGAGAAATGTTATGTTCAGCAATGAGTCCACATTCTAGCAGTTGCATCATGTGGTGAAAGTGTGGAGAAGACACAGAGAATGCTATGCTGATTCCTGCACCGATAGAGTAACATGTTTTGGTAGAGGAAGTGTAATGGTGTAAGGCAGCGTCTCCCTCACTGGAAAAACAAGGCTTGTCTTGAAGGCAATATCAATGCATATACTGTAGATATCAGAGGAAATTCTGTAACCAGTGGAAATTCCATATCTCTACAGTCTGGGACCGAAAGATGTCCTCCAAAATGACAACACGCGTTAAATTGTTAAATTGCCAATATGTCTTGTTTCCTTAAACTTCAATCATCCAGTCCACCAATTGAGTTAAAGGCAGAATGATGCCAGGTTCACACGGCAAGATAATTGTGCCAATTTTTGGCCCAATTTTGCCCTTCTGACAATCTTGAGGATGCTCCGATAATCATGATGGTGCTAAAGCTAATTTCGGGAGATATTCCTGACGTGTGTTAAGACTGATCTAGTTGACTCGGAAGGACGTTGGGACCACTCCAATCACGAATCGGGGATATTRAACATGTCGGATTGTCTTGACCCGATTTCTCAGCATGTGTGGTGTTCCCCTGAGCACAAACAAGCATGCAGCCTGTTGAATGTAACGTGTAGCCAAGGTAGATAACGCAAACATGGAGGGGACTCCAAAAACCAGAAGACAAAAAGACTGCCATGGCTCACCATGGAGACATCGTTTTGAATCTTTTTTTCTTCTGTTAAAATAGTCCGTAGACTGTCACCATTGCTTCTTTGTTGGTTGTTTTTCTTTACTCTGAACTCGTGATTTATCTTGAGAGGTCTCACGAGATTTCCCATCAGCCATCTCAATGTTCATGAATGAAATCTGTTTGTGTGTGGTGTGATGTCTTTGCCGTGTAGCTGTACACCACCCACTATAGGACCTATAGGACCAAACCTGTTATATCCATCATGTGTGATGTCTCTCAGGCTTTGATAATTGGTCAGAAATTTTAAAATCTTGCCGTGTGAACCAGGCATAAGCTGTTTGGCATTAGCATTAGAGGATTTGGCCAATTTCTCATGTGCGCAACCCACATACTTTACTGCTCATCCTACAAATGCATGTTCCTTATAGATGGGGCACCATTTAACAGGTTTTCCAATGACATAAGACTTATTGCCAGGATGCGTTCTTACAACAAGGAAATAATCTACCAAACACAGATTTCCTTACTTTTTGTGCTAAGTTTAGATTCACCTCCTCATGAATGTCACTGTAGAAGTTTGCACTCTCATTTGCTGCATTTGCTTCTCGACTGTCACTGTTTTCTCTATTTCTTCAACACTTGAAAATATCAATAACACTTTGATTCTGAGTACAAGTCTTATAGACTACACAGGTGAAAATTTAAACAACAGTCGCAGCTGTTTAGTTTTTGTTTGCACGTGTTGAGGACTTTTCCTCGTGTTTTCCTATGCTGTGATTGGCTGTGGCTGGCTACAGGCTCTGAGAGTGGCAGGAGTTCACCTTATTATGGCCAAGAGGAGCGATCAACCACACCCACCACAAACCAGCCCCCTAAACATTTTCATGTCCCAGGTAGGAATTCTCATCTCCCCCCTAGCCACATTCCCAGCAGCAATGCAGATCATTCAGAAAGTTTGTGCCATGTGAACAATGGTGTGTCCACATGTGACTTAGTTGCATTTCGGTACAACACACAAACACTCTGGTATATTCTTTCCCCTCATGTTGCATCTTTACCATGTTTTGACTTCTACTGTAACCACCCCCTCCTTATTCCCCCCTTGTTACATCATCCCAGCAGCCATTCACATCCTCTCCTCCYTCTCTTCTCCATGTTTCATGTCCTCATCTCCTGTTTCTTTCCTCCTCCAGCCACAGGGGACCACAACATCTACAGGAAGCCGCCCATCTATAAGAGAACGGGTACAGTGCAGTTAGTCTTGCCTTAGCCTGCCTGTCCTGTCAGTTTAGTCATCCTGTGTTTTGGTATTTAATGTTTTTATTTTCACTGAACCATTGGTGCCTTTTAGTATTCTTTAGTACTGAATAAACTAACCTAACTTGGCTACAAAAGCAGATAAGTTGTGCAAGAGAAATCACTGACAGAAATAACATTCGACTTGCAGAGCTTGTTTCCAAAGTGAGGGGGGGGAACAAATCAGTCAGCTAAACAGAGATGAGCTATGTTTTTGTGTGCATGCCGAAAGCAATAACATCCTGCTTTTGTGTGCTGCCCGTGACAAGTTCTGGGTGGCAAATTAGAGTAGAGCGGACCATGAATGTAGTGAGGGTTTGCTCAGGCGTGACAAGTGACACTCTGGGAACACACACAGAAATAAAAAAGAACAAAAAATCTAAACAGCAAACAATGGAAAACTGAATTATACGAAGAATCTGCTGTGTAGCCCCTTTTTTTCCCTTTGCTATGAGCCATTAGTCAGGGTGCCTTTTAAAGGAATTAACCTAAAGAAAGCAATTCTCCTGACTGTAGAAGGCTGCATGCACACGCTGGATGTCCTAATTGTGTGCATTTATGTTGTGTTTTAAGTAGCATAAAGGCATAAATAACACAAGATAACCTTTTTTCACAAGTCATTAAATTCAAATGCTATTCAGCCATCTGTATTGCATGCTTCAGTGCATAAGAAAAAGGTTCACTCTCCTCTCATCCCTCTAAAAAGCTTTTCAGCTGAGAGTCACAGGCTCTCTTGACTGATGATTGTTTATCTCTGTTGTTTTTTACCGTGCACGTTCCTTTGTTCTGTACAGTCTGTGTGGGTTAGGGTGTGAGCACTGTATCAGTGAGTGTGTAGACGTTGTCGCCTTCCTTGTGTTTCTCAGCGCTAACATTAGTTCATCACTGGTCAGGACCTTTCCACATATGGAAGCATGCAGGGGTGGGCACAGCTAACTGAAAAGTTTGGTTAACTAACCACTAATCTGCTAAATAAGAATCTTAGCTCTGCCAATGCTAAACAGCTAAACCGATTTTTAAAAATGTAGTAGAAGCTACCACTAACCACTAAGGCAACTATCACTCAGTCCYTGTCACATGTCAGCTATTCAGGGGTTGCAGCCCACGTAGACCTCACTCTAGGCTGCATAAAATGGTTGTGAATTGAGGTGGACTAGTCGCCTGATGATGTTTGTGTGAACATGCACTGCCCCGTTACCATAATGTTTACATTARATATGCAATGCCTTCAGCTGGAACATGTATTCACACATCTTTTCATGGGAGTTATTACTTCACAAAATTCATTATTTCAAAAAACATGTTACACGTAAATTAATTAAAAAAATAAAACATTAAAACTGTGGGTTTAGCTCCAGTATCCGTACTTGTAATTGCATTTAATTTACATCTGATTGCAGCATAAAATTTCTTCGCTACCATATTTTWTGCYTAGTAATTTTTACTATTCATTTTTTTAAATGTCCTTAAAGTGAAATGTAATATTTTCTTCTTTAAACATTATAAATATCATAAATGGATAAATGAGTAAAAATTCTCTCAACTATAGTTATTTGAATAGTGGAGGTATGATTCAATTTGTGTAACAAGATATCTGTGTTTCTGGATTCTTTTTTTGGGCGTGTCTTAAAGGGCAGCCCCGTGATGTCACGCAGCTGCCTTCAGTGTAACCCCACCCCCTGTTGCTCTAATGGAAAAGAAAACAAACATTGTTTCCTCAGTTACAGGYATGTTCAGGGACGTGGTCGTGGTTTAAGCTCCTCCAGCGAACACGCCCCCAGCCTTCCAGACCACAGCTAACTGATATCTTTTCATTACTTTTAACTCATAATTTTTTAACAGTATTTTTAATTGTTCAAACTTGGCTGGGTGATTATTAACACATATTTCTGTGGTGTGTCAACCTCAGAACACACATTTATTTTTACTTTACACTGTCTTTTTGTTGCTTTTTTTGTTTTTGATGCTCTTTATTTGTAGTTTAGTTGCTAATAATGCTACATGCTACACACATTCATCACTGCTTGTAASAGGGGATAGATTTTATTTGATTCAGGATAAATGACACAAAAAAAAGTTTAATGTGAGAAATTTTTAGTGGACCTTAAATTGGCTGAGCTTAATTTGGTGGAAGCTAATTAAAGGTTTCCAAAGTTAGCAATTCAGTTAACTATTCAGCTAAATGAGAAGCTAGTTCTGCTATTAGCAGATTAGTGGAACTGTGCCCACTGGATGCATGTTTTCATAGAGGTATTCTGAAAGWATGCAAAGTGTGTTAGCTTGCTTCACTTGAATGCTGATTGCTTGTCAATCTCGTTCATCATTTGACTGTACAGCTTCCTTAATTGCTATTGATTGGTGCTTTCTCTTGTTTCAGCACCAAACACAYTTGATGTTAAACCTCAAACACAACAGGCACGACTGTGTTAAATTTGTAGACTAAAGATCAGTTATGAACTAATCCATTAGGAAGCTGGCTACCTGCACTGAAGAACGATTCAAATCAAATAAAAAAAGTCTCTCATCCTCAGTGTGGGTAGCATTGCTTCTYCATTTTCACATCTCCCTCTGGGATGCTCCAATAATGTTTTCCCTTTTCTTTTTGCTTCCCTTTTATTGCATCCAATCACGTTTATTCACTTCCCCTCCCACACCCCATGCTCCAATTTACGCGGTGACCTTGCCACTGTAAGTATCTCCCTCCTCTGGCTGTTTAACTCAGTCTCAGTGGATACACGTCTTTGTCTGTGCGAATCGTTTTGTCGAAGAGCTAAAACATCACCGAATGTGTCCTAAAGATGAGAATGTTTAGCATTTATAGGAATCCAATGGATCGTGGATTGTGGCATGGCTAACGGCTCGCAGAATGAAGTGTGACATTACACTGCATGTTGCTCCCATTGACATRCATTGACTGCTTGGAGTGCAGAGTGGCATCGGTATCATCCTGTTGCAGTGCTCGTAAAAAAAAAACTGTGCGCTTCAGGCTGAGCTGTAACTGAAGCCACCTTAATGCAAGTTATTTTCCTGCTGTTGGTAAAATATTGATCTCKTCTGACAGGAAAGATGAATATGATGACTCTGAATTAGTAGTCTGAAAGTACTTTCATTCTCTCTGCCTTTCTCCTTCTYTCTCTCTTTCTGTATCTTTGTCACTTTTATTATGCTTATTTGAGTTCTTTTGATTGTTGTTTCACAGCAAAAYCTTAAAATGCTGGAATATTATTGTTTCACTATGAGAACAAGTTGTGCAAATCAGTTCTAGTATTTTTAGAGCAGACAGTTTTTGTCTGTTGAGTTCTAATCCAGGAGACAGCTGGCTTAGCTTGGCATGATGACGGAAAGCAAAAGAAAGCAACTTCCTAGTTTGTCTAGGGATGRTGATTTTATTATAAGGGGTTCAAGACCTGCTTCTTTTAAGTTTCAACCAGACTCCCATTGATGACCTAACTTGGGAACTTTCTGCTGATGTGGTGATGGCACATGAGAGACATTGGGACACACACACACACACACACACACACACACACACACACACACACACACACAC